ATCCCTCAACTTTTGATCGGTTCCACGGATCTGGATAAGAAACGTATATGCCCCTTTGTGCCTTATAGATCACTTTAGACTCCTAACGAGCAGTAACATAGCAACGTGTAAAATATGATGAAGTGGAGCCACTTCTTATATATAAATAATATATTTCATTACCTTCGCACGTAAGCTATTAGCGCTGTGATGGCACATGTTTGTACCTTTAAACTGAGGTCGTAGTCTGAGTGTTGTTTAGGTGTATGCGACAAAGTAAATAAATGGCATTGTCCAAATCTACTCGGATATCTTCCTACCCCTCTTGCTTATATATGCACGTATGTGTTTGGTATAAAAACGATAAAAGCGCACTTGCTTCTTATTTCAGTGCACCTGAAGAATCGCTCGCTAGATCGTGGTTCGAAAGGGTTTCTGATCTTCGCATTTTCTCAAGTGTGAATTTGAGTTACTTCACTTGTTTGCTGCCTTTGTAACTTCATTTTACTCTACTCCCTTCTTAGTTGCCGATAGCGTCACAAACGTGGAGACCAATGCCCTCTCGCAAACTTCGTTGTCTGTCAAGTGGAAAAACCCTGCGAATTACCATGGTCCTGAAGGCCCAACAAAACTACACCTTTGGGCGCCAAATGGAATGGAGCAAATGAAAGAAGCAGATAAGAACCCTTTTACCTTCGAGGAGCTCAAATCCAGTTTGTCTTATTATATCTCATTAATGGCCAGTACCAAGCCAAATACAGAACAATGCGGTGGCGGGTACGGAGAAGAAGTTCTTGCTGGCCTTGTCTACCTGGAATCGAAAGGTGGGCATACAGAAGCGTCATTTTATCACTGCATCCACCCTGGTTTTGGCGTTGGAAGTTGTGGAAACAGTTGTGTGTAGTAGGTTCAATGCAAGCCGCCACTACAAGGTCTCAAATATACATAATATCCGTACTGTTACGGTTGCGATAGATGAAGTAAGGTACTGTCTACTCCATGAAGCCCATCTGAGTGCCAGAGATTTATTCGACCGATAGGGGGTTTCGGAGGTTCAAGTTGGGTATTAGCGAAATTCTGACTGGTTCTGTGTTATTATGAACGTTTTGGGGGTCGTGGCTCTAGTTATTCACATTTAATATTTCATAAGGGGCATCCTTGCATCACTAATCTCGCGTTCCTAATGTGTATTGTCTGACTTCATGTTCGCCGGCTTTATCAAAAGGTTCTGCTTCACAAGTCTGTTCAGGATTGATAAACATTTACAGTTGTCGCTTGAGTATACTAAAACTTCCAGTAAACCCTCAAGAACAGCTTCAAGCTTAATAATATTGCCAGAAAACATGCAATAATGTTGCGGAAAAAAATTATTTTGATAAATAAATAAACCGAATTTCAGTTTATCAAAAACAAAAAATGTCTAGGATGTTATGATGTTGCTCAGAAAAAAAAACACATTTTTCCCCTAGGAAAAATGAAGCGCCGTACACGGCCACGTAACGGCCATGTAACGTTACATGGAAGCATCCTACATACGGCGGGAGAAACCTGACCTATGTAAG